ACTTGGAAAGCAGACTTTTAAAAAGCATCCATTCATTTAAAGTAACCTAGAATTGCTTACCTACAGGCCTTCAAGATAAAGGGTGGTCAGAATTATTCATTCACTATCACGTAAAGGACTACTGTTGTCTTCATTACAAGAAACACATTTTAAACTGCAAAAGTTATTTTTTTCTCATTTCAAAAGATTCTGTACTTAAAAGCACTAACTTCAACTTACCCAGAAGGCAAGCATGCAACAGTGTTTGGAATAATCATGTAATGATACAACAACAAGCTGCCAAAGACTGCCTGAAAATTAAATTGGCAACTTTATTTCAGTTTGTGATACACAGATCTCAACCTTACAAACATCAGCGCAACTGCGGGGAAATGAGATGGGCACAATTACCAAAAGGCAGCACGAGTGTCTCGTTCCAAGTCATGGTTCTGGTTAGGAGGAATAAACCCTCCTGCAAAGCTGATTAGATCAGACTGTCAGCTGAAGTGCTAAACCAGTTTAAGCTCATCATCTCTGATATATGCTGCTTGGTGAGAGACATGGTACTGGCCTACCATGTTTCCTGTCCTAGACCAAAAAGATGGCATGCTATCATACATAATGGCCAGGTTTTTTAGTTGTTTTTTGATAATATTTTGCAAAATTCCTATGAAATTGTATTACAGCGAGCACTGCACAAACAAAAAGAATGCACAAATAAACCCAATTTTACAGAACAGTTACTCAACTCAAACGTTGAGTAACTTCTCATAGAATTCTGTTCCATTGACTTTGGTGCCTTCAGGAGGACTTGAACAAACAAATCCCGTGGGTACAGCCTCATCCTTGCCTAACAGCTTGTCATTAGCCAAGTTGGTTACACTGCATATTTTTCCAGGCAAGAGTGGAAGACAACAGAACTTCACAGATAAGAGACCAGTCTGCATGCAGGAAATAGAGAGGTGCCAGAAACACAGACTGCATCTACCTGGTGCTCAGGAACACAGCTGAACTTCTAAAAACTACTTTCCTCATTCCCTATTATCATGAAGAAATAAATGGAAACATAGAAGATGAGTTATGGAAGGCCTATTATTATGGGATTACACTACTGCATTTACAAGCATTTATGGAAGTAAACCAACTGAATTATTGTGGAACTTCAGTTGGGTTGGGGTTTTTTTAATTCAGAGATTTACTTCAATTTAAACTGGAGCCAGATAGAATCAACACATTCTTAGGTAAGACCAGTAAGATCAGTAACTAAACATTGGTCACTGGATTAAAGCTATGAACACACTCAAAATGCACACCATGTTTGACACTGGATGGAAGAAGATCTCATACAGCACTGAGGCAGAGGTTTCACATCTGTACTCTTCTGCAACCACCACTGTCACACAAGACAAGCGCAAATGTCATCACTGGCCACTGTAGGATGAGCGAGCAATGGACACAGAGCCCTCTAAAAATCTCATTTCAAAGGTGGTGTTCAGATTCTGTACATACTTCACATTTAATATACACAACTATTTCTTCTGGGTCAAATGATCAGTGTTGTGGCCTGCTATATTATTTAGAAGTTCTGTTTCCCAAAATCCATACCTCCTCCTTTTAGTCTTTGCTGAGTAGCTGACATGCTGGTCATGTAATGTTCTGAGCAAATTCCAACACAACAAAACCTCTCCATGCCAGAAGTCCTCCTGCTCTGGCACTGAATGGCATTTCAGGTTTTCTCAACTTGCTTTGTTCTGTTCTCACATGTTGTGAAACTTCAGTTCCATTAAACAAAAGAATTGCATTTTACCAATACAGAACTTTATTATTCGTGGTAGAACGGTTAACAAGTGTAAAGGTTGTTTTAAAATCCATCTTATTTTGTATTTAGAACTAACATAAAGTTTAGATAAATAACTCTTGTGGTTTGGGGGTTGGTTTGTTTGTTTTGTTTAATTACCATGGTTTAAGGAAAACTTAAGTTGAAAGCAGGGTGGGTAGCTGCCTTGGCTGGCAGACCACCTACTTCACCTATTCAAAAGGAAGGGGATGACTTTCTCCACCCGTGGCCCATTGCGTGGTGACAGGCTACTGCAACTATTGCTCCTGCCCACGACACTCCTCTAGCTTCCTGAGCCAACCCATCCTGGCTCTTTCTTTTTCCCCTCCTCTCCCCAGCATACCAAAACAGTGAGCAGAGGTTATCTGGGAGAAAGGAAACTGAGAACAGCGGATTTTGAAAAGGAGGGAGAGAAGCAATAGCAAGCCCATGGACCCTTCGGCTGGACTCCCAGGCCTGAGTGGGCAGGGAGGGAGAGAAAGAAGTGGCCATTCCAGGCTAACTTCCAGCCTCCTCCTGCCTCCTCTCCCCCATTAGCACCCAACCCATTCCTCATAGGACAGTTACCAAAATAATGAAAATACTTGTTCATGACATGTTCCTTTCATCACAGTTGAATACTAAGCACTAGCATTCCTCAGCTCTAAGCAAGTATGGGAAGGTTTGCAAAGCAAGCTCACAGGGTACAGATGTACAGTCAACAAAATCTACATATAAAGAGCACTCTGCAAAGACAACAAAATAAGCCAAGTTCCACAGTAAGTCTTAGGGTCAGAGAACTCTCAAGGACACAGCACAGGGAGTTCCAGTGCAAGAAAGGAGATAAAAAGATTCAGAATATTCCACTGATTGTAACTGCACATGTTGCTAAATTTAGGCGTCTGCTTATGCGCTTACTAAAAAAGGAATCTCATCTGCATTTAAGGAATAGCAGACCACATTTTTCTCTGGGATTAGTGGAGTTTGCATCTGCGCAGCTGAGAGGATTTAAAAGCTCAATGTGCTTTGTATTGCAAATCAAATCTATGTCACCTGAAGTAAACCCGAAAGCACTTAACTATTTTGAAAACTTTATTTTGCCAAGAGCTGTCAGGCTGTGACGCTAATTAGTCGTATGTACAGCTTTTACTTTTATACAAACCTGAGTAGTCACACCGAAAGTAAAGTTCACATCAGGGAACAGAAACTAGCTCTCTTCAATAATCACCTAAATCAAAGCAAAAATAATAGGCTTCCTCTTTCAGTAATCACAAAAATGAGATTTTCTCTGCTTACCTAGCTGTACCAAGCTTCCTCAGATTAGTTCTACTTCACCAGCTTCCATTCAGTGCTCTGAGGAATTTTGTTTCGGCTCCTTCTTCACAAACATAAACATTTTAGTGAGCAGCAGCTCCCCCACTCAAGGCAGCCTTTCCACTTTTCAGTAATGCTTTCACCATTGGGTTAACGTAAGCTGTTTCACCACTTCCACCAAAGCATATCACTGGCATCTCAGTCAACAACCATTTTGATACATGGGCCTGCGCTTGACAGAGCTCCTGTTCCAAAAGTACTTTTCAAACACTTGCAGATGTAATTGTACATGCCTGGAGCTAGTTCACACTTTCAAGCATTTTCCTAAGCTACCCCAAGAGACAGAGATGAGCTTCAGTTTTAAATGAAACCTGAAAAACTCTGAATAAAGCAGCTTTGAAGAAGAGCCCACGTGCGCCTCTGTAAAAGCATCTTCCATCCCCATTTGCCATTGTTCTTTCCATGCTTAAAGCACCTGACACACACAAATACAGTAGCAGGAAGTGAAGTACATTTGAAAACTACACTGCAATAGAAAAAGAAAACTAAGCATAATAGAGCATCTCCTCCTGGCAGAAAAACATGAATGACAAATTACACACACCCTCCCATCTTTGGTACAAAGAAGATGACTTGTGCTAATGTTAATAGCAATGATGAAGTGAGACTGTCAAGATGTCATGAATTCTCCTTGAAACACTAAGAAAAAGTAAAGAAAATGCAATCAAATGTAGTTCTCAGGTTGAACAGGTATTTGGTAAATGCTGTAAGACTACACTTGCCTTTTAACTTAGTTTTGGAAAAAGGATAGTAAATCAAAAACATGCTAAAAGAAGACAGCAAGTCACACAGGCAACAAGCAGTCTGCATAAACAGAAGGCAAAGAGGATTTTCTAGACTATACCCATCAAATACTTTGTTTACTGATTTCAGCGAACTTTGAGAATGAAGTTTTCTTTTCCTTTTCTGTATTATTTTAAGAACTGCTGATAAAATAGCTCTAAAACTTAAAACATTCTGCATTTCCTTTGCAATCCTGGGAAGACTGGAAGTGTTTGACCAATGTCAGTTCTGTGGGGTTCTGCTCCAGTTGCAAAATTGGAATTTTTGCTGAGTTTACACAAATATTTCCAAAATTTGACAAATACATCAAAAAAAAACCCACTATGGAAGTGGCTACCTCCCCAGTGTTCTCCAGTTCAGGGGGAACACCATGAACGATCATTACATCCTGCTGTATGATCAGCAGGGGGAAAGGGGCAGTGACATGATCATTTCTGTTGGAAGAGATCTAAAAGCTTAGAACATACAAGGAGCTTCTTTAACAGGTGCTGATGGCTATAAAAGTGACAGACAAATTCTGCTATCATTTACACTAGAAAGTAAAGACATATGGAGGTGGTTTGTTATTTTTGGTTTGGGTTTGGTATGTGCTTTTTAAAGTCATCACAACCCTGCCAGAATTTAAAAAAATATATAAATAAATAAACAGAATACAGCTAGATTAGAGGCTAAATCAAATCTAGAGCTAGAAACTGGGTTTTAGAGAGACATAAAAAGCAACAGAGAAAAGATGAGGAAGCCAAGAAAAACTGAAATTGCTGCCAAAAAGGGAAATTAAACAAAACTCAAGTAAAATTCAACTTATTATGCAAGATACAATGGGCACTTTAGCAATTCCTCATCATAGGACTACAGATTTCCCTGTAGATCCACTATGACTTCAGTGTGAGAAGTGTTACTGAGAAGGGCTGAAATTCACAAATCAATCTCTTGTAAATGTGCTAAATCCACACAGAAGGACTTAAGTAGAAATATCACAGAAGAACTTGCGTATAAATATCTTCTGAAATTTTTAATTTATCCTTCTTGCAATATAAAACAAAGTTACCATTTGCCAAAATTCAGCCATGTCTGTTTTCTTCCTGTCCTTACCCCACATCTGTAGATCAATGTCTGGTAACCCTGCAATGCAAAAAGGATGAAGGAAAAACCCAACCCTTTAGTGAGCATGTATTTTGAAATTACAGAAGAATTTTCTACTTTTTTCTTCTAATGACCCTGGGTATCATACCTCCTGAAGGGAAATACAATTGTTAATTAAATATTAATCTATTAATTAATGAACAGCTGTTCATTTTGTCCAAGATGAAAACTGAGACTCTGATAGGAAGTGTTTCAGTCCTTTGAATGGTGCTCACCAGTACTGCACCCCGATTTAAGTCAGGGCAAAAGGAGTACTGTGCCCACTGCACAGCACCTCCAAAAAACATTTTCTGAGTTAGTTACCAAAAAATACTGTTCCTTACCAAGTTAGCCATAGTATTTCTGCATAAAGCCTGTTTTTCAGTTATGCTTATCACCAATATGGTACAAGCCTACTTACTGTAGAAAAACTGACAAAAATCACAGCTGGACATGCTATTGAAGAAGTGCAGCATTTTATGATTGCTGTAACTTAAATTAATCACGTCGGCAGTATACTTAAAGAGAGGACTGCACCAAGCAGCAAATGCATTTTTTACTCTCATATTGTTGCTTCTCTGAAAAGCCTTTCAAGTGTTTTGTTAAACATCACTACATTTCACTTCCCTGTGTTTTCCAGCAGGGAAAAAAAACCAACCTAAAAAAGCCACCAAAACAAAACCAAAATAAACAACAAAATATAGCCTAGGAAGGTGTTCTAACAGTGCCTGTGAAACTGCTCAACTTCTAGGCACTTAGTGATCTTACCACACTGATACCTTTCAGGTGGGACACAAGTGACACTCAGATGTCAGTATGTCCATTACAAAGCCACTCAGGCAGGCAAGAACAAATGTAAAGGGCTGAAAGCCTTGCCTTGATCCTGTCTCCCACAACAACTCACAGGGTTCCTGCTGCATGGGAGTGCCTTCTTTCACTTGCAATTCATAGCTCTGAACACTTGCCTGGATTTACACGTCCACACATTCTCTTTAGAACAGCCCCTAGGCCTGTCCTTCCTCTCTAAACGATTTGGAAAAAGGTCTTCCTCTTTACCCCCTATTATGCAGTAAGAGCATCTCTGCAGGATACAAACCATTCAGAATGTACATCAGGTCTGTCCTGGGACCCATGACAAAGGTACTTAAATGAATGAGAGCATGAGCACAGCTACTGATTTGTACCAGGTAACATTTATATAGTCTGTATTAGGATAAATTCTTATTTTGGCTATATTAAAATTGACAGGAGTAGAATTTACTTGAATTAAAAATGCTGCCAAAGCATACCGTAGTTAGATTTCATGTAACTGCATGGGAGTATTTTCTACCAATTCTTCTGTCCCACTGTAAAAGAGAGCTGAATAGGACCTGAATCCTACAATCTGTCCATGAAATAAAGGAACGCATTTAGCAGATCTCATACACATATAATCCCACACAGGTGGTTACTAATCCTAGCTGTTCTAAATAGAATTATCCAGGAGTGTCAGCAAACATAAGCAAAATGCCTGAAGAACTGGGTAATGGAAACAGACTTTCACTAGTTCTGTGGATTACATTTAATAATAGAGGACCAGAGACTTTATTATTACATTACTTATTGTCATTGTTTTTAGCAGAGACTATTAGAATAGTGAACAGAAGAATATACTCTGGTACAACACCAGAGAATTGCAAGACATTCAATTTCGAATTTACATAATGCTTTTAGGAATTGCTATGCATGATAACAGATTTCATTAATCCTGAGGTTATGTCCAAAATGAAACACAGTGGTTTTTTCATCTGCTCCACCTGCCCAGCAGGTGTTTGAAACCTCCGGGGCTTGCAAGTTAATTACTGATGAGTCACTAGGATGGGATGGGCTAATTAAACTCTCTTTGAAAAAGAAAAGAATGAACAATTCATTTTATCAAAAGAGTCTGGATATTACCTGCAGAGTAGTAGTAAAGGAACCAACTCTGAAAAGAATTGAGGAGCTGATGGTACTTTGGGATAGCTGTTCATCAACGAAAACAAAGATTTTCTACATCCATAGTGGAAGTAATTTTCTTTAATAGAAAATAAAGATTCTTAATAGTTTCCAGTTAATCTTTACTCCTGGAGAAAAGCTGCCCTTCAATACTTTGAGGTTTAAACAGAGTTAGCATAGATCAACGAAAATCAGTAAAGTCTCCAGGAATTTTGTCAACAAATTCTAGCTCAAGGCAATTGCAAAGAATTAAATTTCTCACCTGGAAAATGGAATCTGGAATATTTTAATCCAATGTTTTGTTTTACCTGAGTTGTTTTCTAAGTGAAATCTCTGAAAAAGGAATAATTATAAGAGAAATTGAAGCCAATTAGAAAGTGGGAGGCAATTTTCCTGGCAGGAGACCTAAAGCTCCTTACGTTAGTCCTAATCATCATCTCCAAAACTTAGCTGGAGAAGTTTCTTAAAGAAGCCTCAGACGACATTTTACTGTGTCCCTGCAGGAGAGTGATTCGGTAAGCCCGCTGAGGAGGAATGGCTTTCTCCATGAGCAGAGCCAAAATTTGGACAGGAACACTGTAATGAAATCTGCTGCTCTTTCCATCTGGCTAAAATGTACCAATGGAATCCATCTCTCCTTACTGCTGATAAAGACTTTCCCAGTGCGATCTTGAGATCAAGAGCTGTGTCAAGGTGGCTTCTCCACCCCATGACATTTAGTCAGTGGTCATTGTTTGAAAGAGGTCAGCAGGTGCACAGGGGAGTCAGAGATTTAATTCCGAGGTTGCTTTTGCATTTTAAGGTAATGTACCAGAAAAATATATGCCTCCTATTTCAAAGCTAAATGCTCCCAGATAGCAAGTTTTTGGTATACTACCCACGGCAAATAAGATTGCTACTGCTTACCCAAATACTGCTGAAAGAAGTAGAAATTGATACCAAGAAAACTCCTACGTCAGTTCTACTCCATCCTAGTTTCAGAAGAGTGACCTGCTAAAAGGTTCAGTGGCAGAGTGCTTCTGGCTGTTATTAGCGTACCTATGCCAATGCAGGAGTTTAAAAATACACGTGAGGAAATACTGATGAGATCTTTCTCGTCTCATATAATTTACCTGAGAGTAGGTTAATCAGAATCAGAGAAGTGAGCACAACCTTGGACAGTTTCTTCTCCAGTGAATGTTGTTATAGAAGGTTCTGTCCCTTCAGACATTTGCTCTGACAACATTTTCTTGTTTATGTACTTTCCTGCCAAAGAACTAGCAAGTTGTGGAGGAACAGATGTCTGTTTCTCCATCACTAGTTTTTTGGCTTCATCTACCACCAGGTACTCCAGTTCCCCAAAGCTCTCAAAAACAGAACTGCAGATACCACATTTCCACTTACCTAGGTCCTCAGCTTTGCCTACAGTCAATGAAAGATTTATTACTTTCCCATATACACTCCAGTCTAGTTTTACACAATCTTCATAAGCAGAACTTTCTATTTGTGTTCATGATGCATTCTCAGTATTTCTCCTCCTGACATCTCTAATTCCTGACTTTGGCCTACTTTCAAACTGCTGAAAAGAGTAACAACCTATGGGCACATGGACTGTGCAAAGCTGCATAACGTCGGGTAAGTTACTCACGTACCAAAACATCTCCACCTTAAAAAAAGTGCCTCCATCAATGCAAAGATAGCCAGTGGCCTCAGACCAGAAGAAAAAGGAGAAAATGCTGAAACTTAGGAGCCAAACTGTGCACAACCACCAGCACATCCTTTGGCTTCCTGTGGAGGATGATGGTTGCATTGGGAACTTACACTAAGGGTAATTTTCTCCTGTAGCTGTTCATAGTATCCTTCAACAGTGGTAAAGGAAAAAGAGGATTTAATTTTCTGCCTAAAATAATTCCTTAATTATCTTGGTATAATTAAGCACTTATAGAAAAGCTAGAATGTTCTCCCTGTGGAGCTCATCTTGCCATTGTAAAACAGGAATAGCACTGCTTCCCCTGCCTTGCAGGAGTATTAAAATAAAGCTACACTTCTGAGCTACTCAGTACCAGCCATCACTGAAATGCCTATAAAAACAATAAAAATCCTCTTTCGTCTCATTAGCAAAGATGTTAACAGCAGCTATTTTTCACAGATTCCTCTGCATCAGCAGACAGTTTCCATCACCAACAACCTTCAATTACTTGCTGTCCCTGTCCCACAAGAAGTTAATACCGAAGATGTTGGTTTCAAGCCACCTGCCTGTGCCACTGTCTGAATTACAAGAAACAGCTGTTCACTACAATTCCATTTCCTTAACTAGTAACAGTGGATTTGTTTTGTGTAAGGAGATTAACTAGATTTTCCAACCTCTTTGGAGTTTGGATTGTGCAAATATTTAATATTCCAGTAGAACTACCTTCCCTGTGAAGAATTACATGGACTCAGATATTGTCTTACAGCCTGATAAAAATTGGGTTCTATAAACAACAAATGTTAAATTCTTACCAAGAGGGCATCCATTCCCAACTGACCTAATCCTGCAGTGTGCAAAGAAGCAAAAATGCTGATTTTCAAGTTAGAATATACTGCACTCATTAAATAATGTTGTTCAGGCAAAATCCTTTCTTTAAATGATACCTTTTAGCCCTAACAACATGTGCACTTCTTTGCTTAATTATACAGCCTGCCTTAACTCTCTCTTTCCCCATTCCCCTTGTTGTTGTTTCTTGCTTAGAGGTATGCAAACCACCTGTGCAGCTAACATGGTCTAATAATGATGTACAAAGCTGTTTCCCTGGAATTGGCATTACCAAAGCTGGAAGGCCAAACAGCACCAGCTGCTACCAGGAGCGCAGAATTGCACATCCCAAGGTCTCTTTGATTTGCCTGCTCTCAGTGCTTCTACATGGACAATACAGGAAAATACCTTAAGACTCCACAGGTCTCACACTTCTGCCTGTGTCAAACATACCTTCACTTTTTTTTGATTTTGTAATACCACAGCACTGTATCTGAGTTTAGATGCCAGTAAACTCAGTGCCACAGTTTTCATTTCCTTGAGAGACAGCTTAGGTTGGAAAAGACCTGTAAGATTGAGCGCAGCCATTAAGCTAGCACCGCCAAGTCTACCACTAGATGATATCGGATAATTCTTTTTTTTACTATTTTTCTCTATTGACAAAAGGAAAAATCTTCTCAGAAAGGCAAATACAAGTGTTATGATTCGTGCTTACAATGCTGGATCATTAAAAACTTCTCTGAACTTTTACTGAAAATAAATTTTATTGTCATGACACATAATAGAGAAACATACGCTTATTTTTATCCCTTTCCGGGTAGGACTTGTGTGTTCATAACAATTAAAGAAACTCCAGGGGATTTACATTCTCCATTTCAGAAGAGGAAGATTCCAGGGTCAAAAGAATACATCCTTGGCCCACAAAAAATAAACCACGCATGTTTATATGGCCTCTGAGAGTGTCTGTCTTCATTTAAATTTTTACACTGCTTTCTCTTAGACAATATTTTGGGAATCTGTTTTAGAGATTTACATTAAATACTTCATGTTATCTATTAAATTAAATTACTAACTGTAAAAATGATATACCTAATGTGAGAGTTATTATATATATATATGTACTGTCATATCACCAGCCAGATACCTCTTTAGTAAACAGGACTATTTGACAGACACAGCCTTACTTGTCTGATATAATTTTACTTTGAATACTACTGGTGTAAAAAAGACTTGCAACAAAGTACAAGAGTTGCAACTGAGGCTAAGACCTATTTTTGACTAAAGCTAAAACCTGTCTCATAAAGAGGGCTTTTTTGCATGTTGGGAGGGGGGGGAATTAATCTAATTTAAATATATTCAACAGACTCAGAGGAGCTTCTTACTAAACGTATTTTGTTCTGGTAGCACTCACACATTAACGCTCACTGCTGCCAACCCTTAGGAAAAGCCATTTTGGGTGAAACATGATGGTAACTTCTTTTGAACTTGCATTTCTTATTAATAACGATAATCTCATCTTAGCCTTAAGTGTTAGAATATATCTTAATATATCTCTTGCAATATATCGCTAACAGTGTACAGAATGGTAGAAGCAAAGATAGGTAACAGCAAGAAGATAAAGTGCTTTCATTACATTCTTTCGAACATATTAACCAGCAAAGGAGAGCTACTGCATAGAAAGTAGTAAATTATACAGGGGAAAAAAGTCAATATAAATCTACACTCTACATGCCACAGTGTTGTTCCTCCTTGGGTTTTCAGCAATTACTACTCAGATCCTCCTGCTAGGGACCAACTCAGCCCTTGCTAATTTTTAATTTAAATAAGTACTGATTTCTAAACCACACCTTTGAGGCAAACAGTCCTTAGTGTTTGCCTCAAAGGAGAGGATAAAACATGAAGGGATATTGGAACAGTAATTCCTACATTGTTTTAACATTTAAGGAAAAGGAGTTACTCTCTCATGAGTATCAGTTAAATGAACAGCTTTACATGAAGTATATTCAGAGTACAAGGCTTTCAGTTAACATAAAATATACCTTCCCAAGTGCTAACAAGACATATTGACAGAAGAAAGTAGTGCTGGCAACTATGGTATAACCCGAATTTCGTTTCACTTGTGACTAACATGTCTTCCCAATGCTTGACTGGGTTTCCAAGGTCTAGTTTTTAACATGATCAGCTGTTTGTCTTCTAGTTGTACTTGACAAATGAAATTGAGTAGTTTGGATTTATGCTAGCTTCTTCATAGAGTTTTCATTTAGAAACATAGAATTCAAATTTCTTATTTAATATTTCCCATTAAAAAAGAATAGGAGAATGAGGAATGAGATTTTGTCGTATTTGTCATATAATTCCATTTGATGTCATCCCTCTTTCAGTGATTTCTATCTGCATAATTTCATAGTTCATTATCATATTACAGCTACCGAACCCCAAATAGGTAACAATCATATTGCAGAGCCTGTTAGCATCCTCTTGCTACAGTCTTGCTCTTCCCACTTTCCATCTCAGCCACTTCCTGCTGCT